TGTGTGTGTGTGTGTGTGTGTGTGTGGTTTCTACGTATTAGTGAGCGCATGCCATTAATACACAATATTATGAACTAGCTTCATGCCGTGCCTTTGGCGTCAACGATTGTTTACGTGGCGCCCATCTCCAACTACACCACCTGCGAAAACAAATTAGGAAAAAGAGAACAGTAATAAAAAAGTACATAAAAAAAGCTGCTTTGTCACTCACCAAATGATGCTTCACGGTCCGGGGTTTTGTCACGGTCTTTAGTCTTTGCCTACTTTTTATGCAAAACATAAAAATATTTCTGTCATGGGATCGTAGGCACATGCTCCATATATGTTAAAACACCTTAGTGAGCAGTGAGCCGTGGTTCGATTATTTTTTATTTTTTTTTTTTAATTTTAAAAATTCAATGGTTCTTCTCCTTTGCATTTTAGAAACAATGTCATTTCGAAGGTTTTGCTTTTCTCTCGGTGGAAAGGGTAAAGAAAAGAAAGAAAGGAAAGGATAAAATGCAAAAATACAGAAAGAATAAGAGCAAGAAAGAAAAAGACTCCCCCCCAAAAAAAAAACCCCAAAAAAACCCCAACAACAATAGGAAAATGAAATAAATACAAAAGGAAAGAAAGGTTAAGAAAGAAAGAAATAAAGAAGGATGAGACTGTGCACCAAGTGCTCAACTGAGGAAGGATGTTCAGTTTGCCTCACCTCATAAAATTAAATAGGTCTCCTCCCTTCTAACACCCAGCCCCGCCCCACCCCACCTTAACACTGAAAGAAACAAAATTTAAATAAAACGAAAAGGGAAAGGGGGGTGGGGGGTTGCTTTAAAAGTATAAGCGGCTTTGGAAACGCCCCTTCCGGAATCAGGCATGAGAGGTCGAGACTAGTTTTGTAGAATTTGATGTTTATCAGTTCAATACAAAATATTTATTGACATGCTCTTCGTGTAGAATGACTACAAATGTATTCCATTTGTGATTAATTATTAATCATCCGAAGGCTGCAATAATCAATCAGTCAGCCTAACAACAACGCTATTGACAGCTGATTTGCTTCTTGGCTTGTTCGGGAGTTTTATTTGCATGTTAGTGATGTTGCTAGGGCAGGGTGTTTGGAGGGTTGTATTCTCATTGCTATTTGATAGATATACAGGAAAGGGATCGGGCGGATTTTTTCGATGGGAAACATATTATTATTGTGGTCAGTATGTCAACTGTTATACATGTGTAACGCCTATTACTTAGTAAAGTTTTTCAGGTAG